CGAGAGAGACAAAATTCAGTTCCTCTAATCTTTCTTCATAGCTGAGCTCCTCCATGCCTCGTATCAGTTTGGTTGCCCTTCTATGTACTTTCTCCAGTTCCCCAATGTTCTTTTTGTGAATTGGTGCCCAAAATTGAACTGCATATTCCAGATGAGGCATTACTAATGATTTGTACAGGGGTAAAATTAGATCTCTCGCTCTGTAGTCTGTACCTCTTAATACAAGAGAGGATTTTGCTCACTTTAGAAACCTATTAATGTTTTTTTTAAAATGCTCTTATTATGTTTACATACATTGGGTTCTAACCACCTGTTTGTATCGGTCCGCAGTATTATTGATGTATTCTTTGGCTTTTGTTAGGCTTTGGTTGGACGCTGCCAGGACGGTTTGTGTCAAAGGGGGGTTGAATGTAAGCAGGTTAGCATTAGCTAGGTAGGTGCTGTCCCAGCTGGTAGGGTAGGGGTTAATGTTCTTATGGTCCTTTGATGGGATTCTTGGGTCCGACCCACTGCACCTATGAGTTTAAGCTGGGACAGTGGGCCGTGTCCCAGAGCATGGGTGGCTGGTGGCCTGTGCCCTTGGCTTTGGTTGAAAATCTGGAGCATCTGCTGTGAGTGAAGGCTAGTTTACTTCTCCAGCCTTGGCCCGTCTCCCTGGAACCCCAACGACACCTGGGAAAGGTGTAGAGATGGCACAACTACCTTGTACATCTTAAAAGGGAGGCAGAAAACAGGGCCTCTATGTGTAGACTTTCTAAATGTTTAATCAACAAAACATTGGCAACTCACACGTATAAGATAACAGGCTCATCAGTTAAAACCTCTCTGAGAGAACGCCATTCCACAGGGCAAAGAGCTGGAGCCATCCAGATGTACAGTTGTCAGGGAACAAGGAAGCTAACTGGCAAACCTTCCGTTGGCAAATGGAGACTGGAATGCATCCTGGAACGCAATGCCTGGTGTGATGATGTCACCAGGAAGAGTGACGCGTTTCTGAGCATGCGCGATCTTTATAGTGGACAAGGGAAAATGTCACCAGCACAGTGAGGATCACCAATATGGGTCCAACGGTTTTAATGAACAATCACATAGTTACAGCAAGGCAATGTTTCGGAGTCTCGCAGGACCCCTTCGTCAGGCATGTGACAAATTGTGACAGAAACTGGAGAACTAATCAAGAAAACCATCCACCAATCAGAGTGAAGTAAAATGAGCCCGGCCCCTCCCTATGATGTCATGTTCCCTCCAAAAATGCATTTAAATCAATGTAAAAACTGCACACGTAAACCATAAAACAATAATCAGATGTGCATAAACTGCATTCCTGGGGATATAAATATTGTGGTCACATGCATATCATAGTACTCCCTGGATTGTAATAAAGTGTCAGCTGAAAGCAGTGCTGTATTATGTAAACAATGATCAGCAGCATAAATTTCCCTGACAGAAGCTAAAAGCTGTTGCCTAGACATGTGGGTGTGTGTCTCCTATTGTCAGGTAAGCTGCAATGAGGACACACCTACAGTGGTCCTATTGGTGCAGTGGCCAATGGTGTCATGGCGACGCATGTCACCTGCGCATGCACCATGCGAGTTTACTACTCGCGCATGCGCTCAAAGTCATTTCTGCACTGGCCGCAGTTATCATGGAAACCCATGATGTTGAAGCAGGCAGGACGAGGCGGAGGCAGGTCGTCGGTGTCATGGAAACACATGACACTGGCGCCACACAAGCCACGGGGCAGACAGGGTTGCGGAGATGAACTGTGGAGAAAAAAAAGAACAGAAAGGAAGCAGTCTGAAGGCCAGTTCACACCACATGCGTTTCAGTTGCTTTTCCTCTGCATCCACAATGCACAGAAAGTAGGCTACATTGTTGTCAATGTCATAGTTCACACCAGTGTTTGCAGTTTCAGTGCATTCCAGCTGCAGAAAAAAAAGCAGAACACACCGCATCTCCTCCACACAGAACTACACTGGAACATGGCAAAACGCATAAAAAAAACACACTAGAGTGCACCAAAATGCACTGGAACATACATGTCCCCATCTAAATTGAAGAAAAAGAGAGGGGGGAAAAAGAACTGGAATGCATAAAAAAATGCATTGGAACGCATCAAAAATGAGTCAAAAACGCACACGCAAAAACTCATCCGGAAACACATCTGGACTGCATCTCCATAGTGCGACTCAACCCTGAAACCGATGATAAACGGTTTATGAATGAAGTTGGGGAGGAGTGGAAGAAAAGGGAGTGATAAAAAATGGGAAAGAGTGTAGAGGACAGGTGCACTCCTCTCTCAAGCTGTCATTGCAAGAACTGAGGGAGCCTTATATACACAATAGGAGATAATGCTGGTGACTTGTGGGACTGCAAGGCTCAGGCAGAAAGCAGATATATAAACAAATGTATTTAAAAACAGTAGTAATCATCTACAGAATGAACTAAGACACCATTATAGATAATTAAATGAAAAATAAAAGATATAAAATTACTGTCTGCAAATTATGCTAGCTGCAATATTACTGGACTCAACATATTGAACATACTGTACAATGTACAATCAGATTGTATAGTATATGTATGGCCACATTTATACACCTAAAATTACCTAGTTGTGCATTCAGTGTCATTAATTATCAACGGCACACCAAACACAAAAATAAGCACACATTTTGGTGACACATGCAGTAACAAACGTGCAACTTGCACCACACCCACACAAATGTCTCATGAGCTACTTTGCCATGTGTAGCACAGCTCATTGAAATCAAAAGGCTGGCCTATGTGTGTCACTGGAAAAACAAGGCAGAAAAAATGCACTCTCGCTACTCTAAGTGTGAATGAGGTCTGAAAGTGAAATTGGGGGATTGTTGCATGTAGGGTAGCCCGTTCAAGTGATAATGTGAGATGTGAATGGGGCCTGACAACTGACTGTCTATGTCTACTCCCTCCTATGTACTTGTATAAAGGTGGCCATACACTGTGTAATCTGATTGTACAATTTCCTTTAGATTTACCAGAACTATGGAATAGGAGGACACACCTGAACAATCTGTTCAATCTGTATCAAATCAGACAGGCCCCTGTACTACATAGCTGATGGGAGATCTAAAGGAGATTGTACAATCAGATTGTATAGGAAGTTGGTGGAAGGTGGTATTGTGATGAGGTAGATGTGGTCCCGAGTGGTGAACACACCCTACCATGCCCTCTTCTGTGATGCAACAAGGAAGTGAAGGCTTCTGGGACATGGCCTCCAGGAAGTGAATGCTGAGAGATAATCTAGAGGAAATGATGGCATCTGAAAATCAGTTCAAAATCTCACAAACTGACAAAAATTAAACGTCCTCTGGATGAGGTAAGTGAGAGAAAAGCACATTGGGATGGCTGGGACAGAAATTACACTGGAAAATGCTTCTAATTATTATGAAAAGTGAAATTTTGCCTGAAAAGTGAACTTATCCTTTAAGGACTTGGGGTTCATCCCAAAGAGACCAACTTCTGGAACTTGCCTCTGTTGAATGTAACAACTGCATGGGCTCACCTCTGCAGGTATGCCGGGACAATACATGGCCTGGTTAGGATTAGGACTAGGGTCTTAGGAAAATGTACTGTTCTGTTGGTACTTGTAGTGTTGCACTTTAATTCAAGTAAAGCGTTAAAACTTTGCCTTTTGCCTGGTCTGAGGTTACTGAAAACCATATGTAACCGGCACAACTTTGCACCTCGTTTACTTAGGGTCACTTGCATATGGGGTATGAAGAGTTAACATACTAAAGAGTCACCTTAATGCAAGTTACGCATGCCGTTGCCACTAGCAACAAAGGTACAGTCAGCAAGCAACCTGTCAATGAAGTGTATCTGTTATAGATGGATTTAAAAAACACGTGCAACTCGCACCATGTGAAGGAGATGTTGTCGTCTCTCCCTATGCAGCATTCCATCTCTTATAGCAGCCAAAACAGAATTGCACTTCGGAGGTTTCCATCCTGTAAAGAGGTAAAGAGGCTCAGGAGTTAAAGACAAGTGCATGTTTGGAGTCCACGCTATATGTAGTACAGGGTTCCATGCTGCTGCCAGCATTGGTAGTGAGAATGGTGGACAGGTGGCTGTGGTCAATGTGCAACAGCCTAATTGCAAGCAACAGTGGGAAAACGTACATTTTGCATGGGGATCCAAGAGTAACTGGAGAACAGTAATTGTGCAAGTGTGCATGGTATATGTTCATCTATAAGAGTAGAGGTGGGCAGGTGGCTAACAAGTGTTTAAGTTTAGACTAAACATTCACTGTTTGGATGTTTGGCCAAATCTGAACATTAGAGCAGGAATTCCTCTAGGGAATGTCCCATTATGAATTGCAAAAGTCATCGCACACTATAAAGGCTTCTCTTTCAACAGCCCTTTGTCAGTCTGTGGGAATTTAGTAAGAGTGAAGGACAGTTGACATTGCTTTTAGAGAGCTGGATAGTGTAGTGAAGTGGCTTGTGCTAACATTTTGTGCTTACAGTATCAATGCTATATACAGTACTGTATAATTAATACTGATACTTTGCAAATAATTACAGTTTATGTGGCTAGGGAAAGTGGAGTATAAGCCCACCTACATTCACCATGATGTCCTAGGACACAAAAGTTTTATTTAGTAGCACTTTTTGAGCGTGTCAGTGGCAGGTTTTGTTTCTGTATTGCTGCTGCTCCACCCCTATTTTTATTTATTTAGGGTTGTTTCTTTTTTATTTTTTTCCTTAACGGTACAGGGACACACGGGACACCCAGCAAGGGCACAAAGGCAGCTGAAGGTATCCCGTGCATCCGCGCACCAATTCACCAACTATATAAACAAATAGCAACCACTCCAATCTATAGTATAACTGCAGTACACTGGGGAGCCTTGACATAACCACTGCAGCTTACACATATACTACATTGCCAAAAGTACTTGGACACCCCTCCAAATCATTGGATTAAAGTGTTCCAATCACCCTTCATAGCCACAGGTATATAAAATCAAGCACTTAGGCATGCAGACTGCTTCTACAAACATTTGTGAAAGAATGGGTCGCTCTCAGAAACTCAGTGAATTCAAGCGTGGTACCATGATAGATCGCCACCTGTGCAATAAGTCCATCTGTGAAATTAACTTGCTACTAAATATTTCACGGTCAACAGTTATTGGTATTGTAACAAAATGGAAGCAACTGGGAACAACAGCAACTCAGCCACGAAGTGGTAGGCCACGTAAAATGACAGAGCGGGGTCAGCCCCTGCTGAAGCACACAGTGCGCAGAAGTCGCCAACTGTCTGCAGAGTTAAGACCTCCAAACCTACCTGTCATGTCAAGTTCAATCAGCCCCTCAAAAGGAGGCAAGGGTGTGCCCAATATCACTACTCAGCTGAGTCTTTTTTTGCAATTGCATCTGCAGAACAATTGTTGACTAAACAATGGCTCTGGTGGAAACCCCATGTCCTGTTTTTTCTTCCTGCATCTTTGGTGGTCCCTCAGATGGGACAAATGGGACAGCTCCATCCCCTACAACTCCTTGGTATTACTTGGACACTTTAATGTTTATCAAGGAGCAAGGGGTACATGGAGTAAAACCAGACTTGTAGAAGCCAAAGACAAGCTGATCAAAGCCAAAAACACTGCGGAGCCTTTTCCAGGCCTACCTCTAGCAACCTGCAAGGTGGCCTGAAGGAATGTTTCTTAAAAGAGACTCCCCAACAGGTGCAAAGATTTGGAATGGAAGGTGATCGAAGGGAGTTGCCACTAAGGACAATCATGCATGCCAGAAACCTGTGCAGATACAGGCACTGTCCCTTTTGCATCATAAAGGAGGAAACTGTTCTGCATGTTTTCTGGGAGTACCCTTTTGCATAGGGCCTGCTGAGGACCTTGGAACCAGACCTCAAAGACTTTGTACTACAGACAGCCATCGCACACTTTGGTGTGCTAAGTGGACTGATATGTGGGACATTTACACAGGGGGACATTGATGGTGCCTAGTGTTGCTTTAAGGATGCTTTGTGGTGCACTAGAAAGTGCCTCATACACCAGAGGGGGAGGATGTATTGAGGATTGTTGCAGACTGGTCCACAATCTACTCAGAGACTATAACCTTATGGACTTTAGGGAGGAAGAGGACATCTGAAGAATTCCACTTCCCCCACTCTCTTTTATGCCTTTGTCCTTTCAATAAAGCTTTGGACCTGTGAACTCTTCCCCCTCCCTCATCCTTCTTCACATATGCCCATCACACCTGTTGCTTATTGAATTGTTTTTGAAATGATTTATTTCAGGTACTTATATAGCGCCGTCAATTTACGCAGCACTTTACACATATATATATATATATATATATATATATATATATATATATTGTACATTCACATCAGTCCCTAACCTCAAGGGGTGTACAATCTAAGGTCCCTAACTTACATTCATACATACACATATTAGGGCCAATTTAGACAGGATCCAATTAACCTACCAGTATGTTTTTGGAATGTGGGAGGAAACCGGAGTACCCGGAGGAAACCCACGCAGGCACAGGGAGAACAAGCAAATCCAGGCAGGTGGTGCCATGGCTGGGATTCGAAACAATGACCCTAGTACTGCCAGGCGGAAGTGCTAACCATTTAGCCACTGTGCTGCCCCAAAATGTTGCATGGTTTGTTTTTGTGGTGCCCTGTAGGATGTATGGGACAGGGGTCTATCTCAGGCACTGCATTTCTGACATTGTGTTGCTGGGTATTTCAGTGGTACCCTAGGGCCCACACAATGCTCTTGGGGTAAGCGGCGTCATGGTGAAGGTTCAGGGAACTTTGATCTGAAAATGTTGGGTATCGTGCCGCAGAGTGAATATATTTATTGTGCTATTGGAACTATATTGTAATGTAGTGTACTTATGCATTGTGTTGCAGCACAGATCAAGTATTGTGGGGTTTTTTTTATATTTGATGTGAAACAAAGTATATTTTAAATTTGTAAAAAAAATGTATTTAATGTCTTCATTTTCCAAAAAATTGTGACAAAAAAAGTCACCATTACACTTACTAAATACCTTTTTAGACTGTCTACTTTAAAAAAAAAAAAAATAAGGGTCCTTTGGGGGGTATTTATACTGTCCTGGCATTTTAGGTCCTCCAGAAATGTCTGTAAAGTGTCAGTACATCAGGACTGATAAATTTTCAAATATACTGTATATACACCATACAGTTCTGTTTGTAGACTCTGTATAACCTTCACACAGACTAAATAATATACACTGATTTGGGTTATTTTTACCAAAGAAATGTAGCACAATACATTTTGGCCTAAATTTATGAAGAAAGATTTATTTGCAGAATTTTAAAATAGAAAAACATGTTTTTTAAAATTTTTGGTACTTTTTCATTTATTTAGCAAAAAATAAAACCTAGTGGTGATGAATATCACCATTTGGATAACGTGTTGCATGACTGAGTGACTGAGTGTGACAGCTCTGAAAACTGAAAAATGACCTGGATTCAAATGGGGTGGAAGTGCCCAGACTTGAAGTGGTTATGGTAAAAAAAAAACCTTCTGTTATTAGGATCCCCTCCATCACCCCCTTATACTTACCTGAGCATGAGCTTGATCCAGCACTGTGCCCAAGAGCATTGGCTCTCTTTGCAATCTTCTCACAGGACAGAAAGGCAGCAGCTGGATCCATTGGCTCCTGCTGCTCTCAATCAAATCCTAGGCCGAGGGAAAGAGGGTGAGGCTGAGCCACACCGATCTATGGGACTCAAACAGCAAGACTCAGGACTGAAGAGACTGAACCAGGAGTGCTGGAAAGGGACCGCAGAAGAGGAGGATCGGGCCACTCTGTACAAAACCATTGTACAAAGCAGGTAAAAAAAGCTTTGGTCTCAGTTCAAGGCTAGTGATAGGCCATATGTTCGAGTCAAACATTGGGTGTTTGTGTGTTCGGCGAACACACAAATATCACGGGCGTTCAGTGAGCTGTTCAGCCGCTGCGCCCCACAATGCACTGCGCTCTCGCAGTGCATTGTGATTGGTCATAGCATTGCACTTCATAACAGGTCAGGTGCAATGCTTTGGCCAATCACAGCTGAATTCACTGTGAGAGCCATGAGTTGCAAAAGTCTCTGTGACTTTTGCCAATCATGACTCACGGGCTATGTCCACGCCCACGCTATATAAGGCTGCCCACACAGCAGCCTTGTGTAGTGTGTTGGTGGAGTTAGATAGGTGAGGATAGTTAGTGGTGTGTTAGGAGACAGTGTAATCAGTGTAGTGAGTGTACTGTGGTGTTGTGGAGCAGTGTAATGGTGTCAGTGTTTTTACAGAACCTTTGCATCACCGCTGTTCCCATTTTTGTTTTCAACATCAGGTTCTATTGCTGCATCTTTAGTATTCCAACTTCTGTGTTGCAGGTGTTCTTCCTTCTGCATCAGCAGTGGTTTCCTTTTTTTATTTTTTTATTTAATGTTATGTATTTATTTGGCTGCAGCACTACAACTATTTACGGCAAAATTGCTGTTCCCCCTTCTGTGTCGCAGGTGTTCCTCCTCCTCCTTTGTCACCCATTTTTTTTATTTTTGGGGGTTTTTTTAATTATATTTTTTAAAATAAAGTATCCATATTTGCTGTAGCCCCTATTTTCTGTAAAACAAAAATAATATTATTAATAAGGTTTATAGTGCACCCAAGCACCAAAACTCCATCCCATGTTCAAAAACAAAAAGTTATAAAAATCCCCACCATGTCTGAAAGGCTAAGAAGGAAAGGCACATGCTCTTGGGCAGCTAAGAGAGGGCAAGCAGCCTCTGTGTTCACAGTGAAAAGTGCTGTATCCTCTGCAAGCAGGGCACGCTTGTCCTTTCTTTCCGGTCCTGGCCGTGTTGTTGAGTCACAACATGCAGAAGAGGTGATGACGTGGATCACTAAGCCATCCTTATCCTCCTCATCCTCTCTGTCACCCGGGCAAGAAATTGGCAGTCATGTTCCCCCAACCGCAGCACACTGCCAAGTTGGCTCCAGTGATGAGGGAGGGAGGGGATGATGAGGTCACTGACTGTACTTGGGTGCCTGAGAGAACAGAGGAGGAAAAATGAGGAGGTGGCACAACTCCAACGAGGCAGGATGTCCTCCACCGGGAGGCGTAAGGGCAGCCACCCTATAGCATCACACGACAGAGCTCCACAGGTGCAGAGTGCTGCTGACTCCCGGCTGACTTCCAAAATTTCTACGGTATGAGCTTTTTTCAACACATGCAGCAGACCACAGCATTGTTGTTTGGAGTGTCTGTCTGCAGGGGATCAAGCATGGCCAAAACACCAGCCGCTTGGGCACCACATGCTTGACAAGACATATGACGACCTGCCATGCAGCCCATTGTCAACAGCATCTGAAAGACCCACATCCTAAAAAAGTACAGACTTCTCCTTGCTCTTCATCTGGGATCTTTACCCCTACTATAAATCTCAAGTCTTCTCAACAGTCTCCAATGAGAGGAGTGATAGTATAACAATGGGTGTCACAGGTCCTTGCACCCAGTCTATTAGTAGTACACCAGGCAAAGTTTGCTACTCTAGTTGTTGAACCATAAAAAAAATACTGTCCCACCCATCCACATGCTTAGCATCTAAATGCTAGGTTGGCCAAATTGCTAGTGTTACAACTGCTGCCTTTCAACATGGTGGACTCTGCCCCCCTTTTGTGAATTTGTGGAATGTGCTGTACCACAGTGGCAGGTTCCAAAAAAGACATTTCTTTTCACTTAAGGCCACTCCAGCTCTGCACCATCATATGGAAGGCAATGTGTTGGCCTCACTGGACAGGGCGGTCAGCAACAAGGTCCACATTACTGCTGACATGTGGTCCAGCAGACATGGTCAGGGTCGTCACATATCCTTCATGGTGCAATGATTAAATATGCTGGCAGCTGGGAAGGATGCAGGACAGGGTTCAGTGCTGGCGCTTGTTCTGCCACCATGCCTCCAAAAGCTGTTGGTGATTTTGCCACATCTGTCTGCTCCACCCCTCCTCTTCCTCTATGGCCTCTTCTGCTGAATTGTCCTCTGAACCAGCAGTGCTCTGTAAGTGTTCAAGAGGCTACGCAAGCAGTCAGGCTAAAAGATGACATGTGGTGCTTCAACTGGTCTGTTTAAGGGACAGGAGCCACACTGGGCCAGAGATTCTGTCAGCTCTGTAGGGGCAGGCTCAGAGGTAGTTGATGCAACAGCAGATTGAGCCAGGAATGGTTGTATGCGACAATGACCCCAACCTTCTCTCCACCCTCCGACAGGGACATCTGACATATGTTCCATG